AGATAAGTATATTCTAAGAGGCCATAACCATAAACTAGAACGTCAAATGGTAAAAAACTGTGAGGATTGTTGCCATATGGAATGCGCTTTCGCAAGAAGCAGTGAACGCTCAATACATCAACGCTTTCAAAAATAACATAAGAAAGTAACTTTATAGATACAACTGCTGCTTTGTCTGTAGCGTCTGTATCTCCATGTTCGTCAGCATAGAGGGGTCTGGTGTAGCACCTCTTCATCAAATTATAAATGGATTATTGTATTTGTATTTGATGACTGAAATAAATAAATAATATATGTAAAATAGCAGTTTTTTCATTAATATTTTAAAATTAGAAGACAATAATATTATTTTTATCATTAAATATTGTATTGTTACTTTATTATAAAGTTGCTACACCATAAAACTATTAAATATACATAATATATATACCAGTAATATTAAAAAAAAATTTGTGGCCATGAAAGTAGCCGTTTTAGTAGGTTCAAGTCGTCTCACTTTCTCTTTAATTTTCTTCTTACAAAATGGAAGATGTTTTTTAATCGACGTTCTTTATTTATCTTTCTTATTATCGTTCTTATTTATTCTTATTATCATTCTTAATTGGTTTTTTTAAATCTTGAAAGCTATTTTATATTGATTATCATTTAGAATATAAAATCTAGGAACTTATATATAAAGTGTTAGGCGATCATGCATCGATTAAGCATCAAGTAAACACAGCTCATGATACAAATTAGACATTTTAACTAAAATTGATTTCAAAATTATAGGTACAAAAAATATTCTCACCAAGTCATGATAGAATACTTTGTTTAGTAATATAGTGGGATACATGCTTAGTAATATAGTGGGATAAATGTAACTAATTCATTTGATGGAAATACTAAAAAATTTTAGTATTTCCATCAAATGAATCAGTTACATTTTAAATAGAAACTAAGATGCAGGGGAGATGGGGGCAAATTGATTGCGAGGCAGTATGATCTTTTAGCTATTACTCGTTTACTTTTGCCTAAATTTAACAGAGATTGCAATTTAATTAACAATTATACTACCCTTCATTGCTTAATCTTAATAATTTTTGATAAAATCATCTTCAGCGTTAAGAAAATTGAAAATACAGTTTTTAATCATGTAAAGCGATTTTTGAAAGTAGTAAACAAAGTCAAATAAATTTTTAATTAGATTTCCGAATGACTTTACAACCAATTTAATGTAAACTCATACGTCTTTAGTTTATAATAAATTTGTTTTTTTAAGTTGGTTACAGTATTTATAGAAGTTATTGGCATCAATATGATGCCAAAAACTTCTGTAAATGCTGTATATCATGTATATCATGTGATACAATTAAAGCAGCTGTTAATAAAGTTTTAGAGGGAGACTAGACCAGTGAATGTTGTCACTCGGAAGTTTAGCATAAATCGAATGACTTTAAAAAGATATTGTCATAAAAAGAAGCTCAATCCAAATGAATCTTTTAAGCCTAAATACAACAATAAACAAGTTTTTACTGCAGAAGATGAAAAAAGTTTGTCAAGTTATTTACTACTTGCATCAATAATGAACTATGGACTTTCAACTAAGTTAACACGATTATTGGCATACGAATTTGCGGTAAAAAATAATAAGATATGCCCTTCATCATGGATCAACAATAAAATTGCAGGGATTAATTAGTTGCAAGGTTTTATGAAAAGACAACCAGAGTTGTCTTTACAAACCTGCCTTTAACCGACACCCTTAAGGATAATTTTTTCAAAATCTAAAAACAGTAAAAAATCAATACAAATTTGATCCTTATTTCATATATAACGTTGATGAAACTAGTTTAACAACTAATTTTGGACCATGGAAAAGATTTTACAATGCTGCGTTTGATATTTGGATAGTCACAAATCCAAGACCTATGACCATTTATAATACTGTTTTAATAGTTCGCGAACAATATACAAAAGCTTTATCACCATCTAACATACAGAGAGGGTTTCAAGTAGATAGCATTGAGCCATTTAATCCAGAAATTTTTAAAGATGATGAATATTTACCATCATCAGTTACAGATTGTGCTGCTCCAAATGTAGTAAACACAATTCTTGTGAAACCTGAAAGGGCTGTAGCACAAGTTGATGGCATGGAGCCTAAAATGCCTGTAGTATATCATAAAACAGGTTTTTCGAACAAAGTGTCACCAAGCATTGCTTCATTACTCTCACCTGAAGTTTTGAAACCTTACCCAAAAGCATCTACTAGAAAAAGAAGTGCTAAAAGTAGGTAACCAAAAACAAGTATTTTGACTGATACTCCAATCAGAAATGAAATTGATTTGTCAGAAGAAAAGAAAACCCTTAAAACAAAGCAACCAACAAAAGAAACTCATCGCAAAAGATAAAAAAGGGGAGAAGTTAAAAACTACTTGCTTAGGAACAAAAAACAATGTAATGTAAAAGCAGCTTCACAACTGACTTTGACAAAAGATGAAAAAAAAAAAAAATCTTGTAAACTTTAGTTCTAATAAAAGTCTTGTATAAATCTTGTATATTCTTTGTAAACTTTAAATACTGTATTCATATAGACTTATAAGGTTCAAGTTGTAAAACTTTACGCATATATATCTTAGTAGTATGTGACGGGCTTATTTTCATAGATAAAATTGTGGTCATTCTTCTAATGAAAACTTTATACACTGGCGTGTATTAGGTTATAATGATATATATATGTATATATATATATATATATATATATATATATATATATATATATATATATATATATATATATATATATATATGATTTAAATTTTACTTTTTTTTAGATGTATTATATAATATACACTCATACCCTTCAACTACAATGCATTTGTAGCACTTAGGTATAGCAGTATTAAACATGTAAATAGTGTTACTCATATAAGATCAAAGCGTCCTAAGTCGGAGATCATAGTACCCCATTGTATGGGGTACATTGATCTTTTGCAAGGGTTGTTATAATATTGAAATATTTTTTTTACTAAAGCATTTGTTTTTACTTAAAGACAGATTGTTCTAGTTTAGTTTAGAAATAATAAGTTTTTATATTGGGTTGTTCGCAGTTTACAAAATACTGCTACGATGATCAATGCATCCCCATCTCCCCTAATACCTTCTTCTTAAAAAACTTGAAATATTTATACTTGCTTTTAAATTATTAAATTCAGCTTATAGCAGAGTAGTATTTATCTGAGGCAAGTTTTTCTGCAATCTGAGTAAAGAATTTTAAAACCTAATATGATAAAGAATAATTTTTGCTTTCTTTTATTCTTACTTAAGTTATTTAATCCTAGTGTTTGGCGTTGAGGTGACAACTCACCTTGTGATATACATTTTTTTTTTTTGAAAAACAAACACATAAATATACTTTCTTCACTTTGGTTAGGATAAATTAAATTAGGTAACCCAATATTTGAACTAAAATTGAGGTTTGTCTCCAACATATAACAACTCAATAGCAGCTAAAACAGCTTTGAATTTATTAGAAATATCAAATTCTGTGCCATAAAATATAATTTAAAAAATATTTGATGCATTCTCAATTACGTATATCTGTCACCCCATAAAGTTTAAGTTATTTTAAAAAACCTATAGAAAACGGCCCGCGTTTCCAGACTAGTTTACAAATGGAATTAAGGAAAAAATTGACTATTTTTGATAGAAATACAAAATTGTTTATTTTGAATTCTTAAAACTATTTATTTCAATTGAAACTTTTCAAAATGAAAAAAAACTACAATTTTTACCAATTTTTTTTCAAAACTTTTTTGAACGGCAATATAGTTTATAGTAACCACCTTAGCAACCCTTTATTTCTAATGTCTCTTTGACCAAAATGCATTTGAGCTCATAGCTATGCGAAAAGAATTTAGTGATAAAGAAAAATATAAAAAAGAAGAGTCATGTAGATGTGAAATCATTTAATTATAATTTGTTACTGTTTTTTTTACTGGTTTTAGTTTTTAACCAAATTTTTTTTCTAGCTAAATTTTAGTTTTTTTTAATAAAGATAACTTTAGATAGGAAATATATATCCTCAGTTATTTTGCTTTCTGATAGATTTTAAAACGAATTATTTTTCTACCAATTACGAAAAAAATGTTGAAATAAATAAGTATAGAAATGGTCGATGTAAAATAGACTTACCAAGACACGTATTTTAATGTTCCGGACACGGCTGGTATATATATTTTAAAAAAATGAACTACCAAATTGTTTCATCCTTTTTTTAAAAAACGTTTGTGGTCTTCTAAGAAATTTTTTATTTCCAAATTTTATTTTACCTCTCTGAGAATTTAAATTTAGCTGTTTTATTTTCGGATTTTTGTGTTGATGGCTATTTCCTTTGATTCGCAAAGACTTCAACTAACACATGTTGAATTGGATGTCTAACTGCTTTCTAATACACATATTTATTTTGAAATCTGTTTTGAATTCCCAGACTCGTATATATATATATATTTTTTATCGTATATATACTATTATTTACTTTACTCAATTATTTTACAATACTCTACTTTAGTTTAGCATTACTTTAATCAATTTTTTTTCTTAATATTTTCAACACTTTTTTCAACTTCAACACTGATCGACTAAGGTTTGCAATTGTTGTTATTATTAATTACTTTAATACTCATCAGACTAAAAGATTCGGCTCAAAAGATTCATCTCTATTATCACCGACTATTTTATAAATATATATTGTACTAATTTATAAATACTAAATATATATTGTCGTATAGTATTTATAAAACGCTTTTATTGCATACACAATGTTGAAACAGATAAGTTTATACATTTTTGGATATTTTTGATGCATACATGATTTTGAAAGACATAGGTTTATTTCATTAAATAGATTAAGTTGCATACATAAAGTTGAAGTAGATAAATTTGTACACTTATTTTATACTTCTGTTGCATACATAATTTTTAAAAAGATAAATACATTTGTTACTTTATTTTTAAAGGTAAACTTAAACAAAGAAGTTCAATAACCGCATGGGTGGTATGCCATCACGAAATATAGTTAATGATAACGTTCTATATCCACAAGCAGATATGACATCACATAATATGAATAATGATGACGTTTTACATTTACAAGCAGATAATAAGCAAATGGCTAGCGAGACCGCGCAAAATACAAATAACGATGATGTTGTTACTCCACAGCCAAATGAAGAAAATTTATTAGCTGACATTTTAGGGGATGACGTTAAAGAAATTAAAACACCTATTTTTGAAACTGGAAACAAACTTGCAAGTTTTGTAAAAGGGTCGTTGAATTTGGCTTATTTAGCAGCAAAGCAATCTAAATCAATTGATGATTGGGTAAAAAATGGCGCTGTTACGTTGACTTCTCTCTACGAATTGGGATTGGGTATTCATCAAACTATCAAAATAAAAGAAAAGAAAAACATACGCGAAGAGAGGTTTAGAAGACAAGCAATAGAGTTAAGAAGAGAACTAATTAATATGATGACAGGCGAAGAACCGGACGAACAGGAAGAAAATTTTCAAAAAGCAAGCCAAGTATATCTTGCGCGTTATTACGCAACCTATTACATCGATGAAATTTGCTATGATAAAGAAAAAAGTAAAAAACAAAAAAAAGTGCGTTTGTATCCATCGATTAAAAATTTTGAAGAATATTTTTCGTCTAGAGGTACACTTGCTGAAAAAATAGATAGTTACAGAAAAAAGCTAGTTAAGTTAAATATTGACAAAGAAATACCAAACACCAAAACCAGTTATTTTGCATACGTAAACTATATTTTAAAGAAAAATTATCTTGAGTTTGTTAAGAAAGAGCGTCAAAAGGAATTTGCCTTGAAATATAAATTGTACAGAGCATATTTAAAACATGGGGAGTTTGATGAACAAATTTGTTGTGGCGATCAAAATGAAGAAATAAAAACCTTCATTAGTATTTTAATATTACCTGGAATTTATTATTCTTTTTCAAGAGTAATGCGTGAGTATAAATGGAACAGAAACATTTTAAAACTAGAAGAAATTATGAGGTCTTACTTGAAAGTTGAATCAAAAATTGAAGCTGTTGTAAAGAAAAAACTTGCTATTGAAAAACTAAAATACTACTGTGAATTAACAGGTTCTAGATATGGGAAGTTATTATTGGATCTAAATCTAAAAGAATTAAGTTATGAATTTAAAAATAGTTCGTGTGAAGAAAGCTTTGAGGTTGCTTTCGACTTATTTCAAAAAATGAGTAATGTAGGCATTGCAAATCGAATGAACTACGTGCATTTAAATATTGAATATAAAAATATTTGATTCCATGAATGAGTTATTAGCTAGTTTTCTAAAAATGCCACCGTCTAAATTTATCTAAAAATTATATTTATCAGTTAATTGACATTTTTACAACCAAAACTTCAAAGAAGTTAAGCATTAACTTACTATGGAAAAGGCGCCAAAAATCAAATAGTTTTTTAGGCGTAACAAGTTTTCAAATCGAATTTGAAACACTAAAAGCTACGATAGCTCCCAAAACTGCATATAATCATTCGTTGCGATTGAAAACAACTGTTGCTATTAAGAACATAATCAATTAATCCAGAAACACTATATTTCTATTTTTTAATTACAAATGCATAAACACTGAGAATTTTTCACGACAATTTTTAATTATGAGTTTATAGCCTGTTTAAATCTGCAATTTAAATCTAAAAGAAGCCCATTACAAAGAGTTAATTTTTTAAATATATAACATTTAGTTTTATATTAAAATATATAAAAAAATATATAAAAAAATATATAGCATTTAGTTTTATATTAGTTTAATAATAGAATCTAGTTAGCTAATAAGACAAAAAAAAAAATTTAATAAAAAAAAAAAAATTACAATCATTAATTAAATGATTTTAATTAAATTAATCAAACAACTATAAAAAATATTTATTAACTGTAAAAATAACGATACTGTAAACAGGGCTGACGCAAAAAAGGTCTCGCATGGGGAGGGGGTGGGAAGGTTGGTTAAAAAAAAGAAAAAAGGAAATGGTCCTCGATATTTGGTATTTACCAACTCATGTTTAAAACTTGCCAATGCTAAATGTACCATTATGCGAACTCAAATGCACATATAACAGCTTTGGGGGAGGGAGGAGGGGCTGGGATACCTCCTACACCCTTTTTCGGGACGGCCCTGACAGTGAACTCCTTTTACTTTTTTAGGGTTTTTATCATAGAAACTGGGTCTAACAACTCTTATTCAGTCAGTTAATATGTATTCAGAACTGATATTATTAGAAGCTAAGAACGTATCAAAATTGACTTGAAAAGGTTTTTTTTTCATGCAAAAGAAGAACCTACGTTAAAAAAATCATTAATAAAAGGTGTTTTAGCCGATAAGGTTTTTTTTTCTTATCTTTTTTATTACAGCAAATAAGGTTTTTTTTTTTTTTTTAATTATTACTTTTGCAATAATATTTCTGTTTCAAACAAAAATATTATTTTACAAATATTATTAATTATTTTTCCTATATTATTCTTAATATTGGCGTTTTATTAAGGAAGTTATTAGCAAAAATAATCTTAACAGTGTTTGGATTATTTTTAGCAATGACTTCCTAAAAAGCTGCAAAAAATAATGTTAAATGATATTATAATAGATTTAAGAATACTCGTTATAATACAAAGGTTACGTTGTTTAACTAATTTTGAAACTTCTAAAAATGTCTTGTTATAATATTATATCATAATGATAATGGCAACTTTTTTTTTTAATTTTGATTCATTTTCAACAAGGCTGCAAGCGACCACTATTAATTTGGAAATTACTGAAAAAAAAAGAAGAATAGAGTTATAGAGCAAGAAAACGGTTGACAGAAGACTTGAAAAGTTGAAGGTTATGTTCAGAGTTGGTAACGAAATACATAAAACTATGATTGGTAAGAACGCGTTTATGTGGAACGCTTTAGAACTCGTGACTTGGTAAGAAAGATTATGTAGTACGTTATGAATCAAGTTATGAATCATAACTTATGATTACTTATATAATACTCGTTGCACTATATATATGTTATTAAAATAAATCATTAAAACAAATAAAATAAGAGTTAGTAGATATATAATTAAAATAGAGAATACAACAGTTGGCGACGAACATCTAACTATGGCGTAAGTAATTAATAATTTACCTGGAGTAGAACAGTGCATTATAAATTAAAATTACACAACTAATTTAGACAAGCAGTGGGAAATATGGAAATTAGATTTTGAGTTTTATCTAGTTGCAACTGGAGTCACGCAAGACGCACAAAAAAAAGCGTTATTTCTACATCTAATAAGGAAAGAAATGAAAGAAATCTATAAAACCCTGAAACGAACTGACACCGATCAATACAAGGCAATGAGTGATAAACTGGATCAATATTTCGGCGGACTTGTATTTCAGGCACCCCCATTCTAGTGAGTCCGTAAAAAACGCGTATACAAAACGAGTATTGTTGAAAACTATACCTTAATCAAACCCCAACCCTAAAACTTAGGGTTAGGCTCTGGTTTTGTTTTAGATTTAGCTTAAGATTTGATTTGGGTATAATTTTCAATAAAGTAAATTTTATTTTGTGGTTCAGCGTTAAAGTATAATTTTCAATAAATGTTATGCGTAAAAAGCGACTTGGTTTTTAAGGACTTTCTAAAGCGGGTTGCCTGAAATACACGTCCGCCAATATTTCAGTCTAAAAAAGAATATAACATATAAACGTTACGTCTTTACGAGAATCAAACAAAACAAGGAGGAAAGTACAGCGAGTTTCGTTACGTAAATAAAAAAGTAAACGAAGTACTGTGCTTTTCCAAATGTTACAGAGACAGTGAACGATCAGTTCATAAAATCGTATTATTCTTTAAACCTAAAACAAAAACTCCTTAAAGATATATAAATCTCGAAAAATGTATTGAAATTGGTCGAAAAATGGAAGTGTCAAAACAACAGGCAAAAGAAATGTCTTTTAAAAAGCGCAAATGAATGCACAGAGAAAATCGACTTGGAAGATCATTTAGAAAAAAAATCCTTTTTTAGAAGAAGAAAACAAACGACAGATTTTAAATCGAAATTTAGCCGAAATGATAATATAGACAAAAAAAAATAATTTGTTTTGTTTTCGATGTGGGGAGAAACACTTTGTTGGAAACCAAAAAGATTACAAAGCCATTGGAAAAATGTGTTTCAAAAGTCAAAAGAAAAATCATTTAGCTATTTGTTGCCGAAATACACTACAACCATTTTATAGGACAAATCGACAAGTTAATGAAATAAATAATAAAGCTAAAAGTGAACACAACTCAGAAAATGAATCAGAAGAAACTCTTGCACATGTAGTTCAACACGAAAAATACTTTAGTGGAATATTTTTACAAAAAGAAGGAACATGGATCAAACCAATATGCTACATAAGTAGATCATTAACCACAGCCGAGTTAAAATATAGCATCACAAAAAAAGAAGCCCTTGCTTTGGTATAGGCTATTGAAAAGTTACATTTGTATTTATATGGAAAAAATTTAAGGTCATAGTGGACCACAAACCTCTCAAGTTCATTTTTTCAAAAAAAGAGCTTTATAAATTGTACATGAAAAACATTTAAGTGTTGAAAAATGCAAAGAATTATTGCGACAAAAAGTTTACTGAGTCATGAATACTGATATGAATACGTCAATAAATAAATGTTATATATAAAAAAAATTTATAAATGCTACATATTTAAAAAATAAATAAATGTTGTATATTTATTGCAGATTTAAACAGGCTATAAACTCATAATTATAATTCTCATAATTGAAAATTAAACTCATAATTAAAATTTGTCGATGAATACTGATATTGTAGCATATGTTGAAAAATGTTTGGGATGTCAAGCAAATTTACGTGTTCCAAATCCTAAACCAATAAAAAGACGAATTTACCTGAACATATTTGGGAAAAGTTAGCAATATATATATATATATATATATATATATATAAATATATATATATAATATATATATATATATATATATATATATATATATATATATATATATATATATACACACATATATATATATATATATATATATATATATATATATACATATATATATATATATATATATATATATATATATATATATATATATATATATATATATATATATACATATATATATATATATATACAGTGGCGGATTAAGACTTCTTGGGGTCCGGGGCTATTTTTGTTTTTGGAGGCCTTTTTTATGGGCGAGAGCCTGAAAATGACTATAATAATTATCCTTATTTTTTTTTTGTTTTTCTTTTCTTTTTTATCATTACCTACATACAGTATTGAACAAAACATTTGCAACCAACATCGAACAATGGTAAAAAGTGTTCCTAATTTTACATGTCTTAAAAACGAAACGAACTATACTACCACAGGAAACAGTTCAGAAGTCTGGAGTCATAGCATGCCATGACATGAGCAATCAGCTGACAGGTGACAGCACACAGGCAGAATTTCGTTGACAAGTGCCATTTTGCAGCAGACAAAACAAGAGCAACTTTTTTGGTTTGTTTCATTTTCTTAAGTCTGGTCCGTGTCAACGTCACGGAAGTTTTTTAATAATTAAAGGAAGTATCCAAAAAATTCGAGAAGCATGCAGAAGCTTCTAGAAGTTTCCAGAAGAAGCATCTGGAAGCATCCAGAAGCATCCAGAAGTATCCAGAAACATTTAAAAGTATCCAGACGCATCCAGAAGCATTGAAAAGAAACATCTAGAATCTTCCAGAACAGGTTAACACAGGTTCATTTTACTATATAAGAGACATGTAAACCGACAGGTAATTCACTCAGTATATGGAAGTCAATCAGTCAGTATTATCAAGACAGTTTATCGAAGTGAATTTTATTAAAATGTTTTATCGAAGAGCATCAATACAAGAAGTGAAATACAACAAGCGTTTCATTATATCAATACTGTTCACATCCAACCATGATGTTGTGTTCCACAGAGCATTATTGTATCATCAGTAAGGTAAATGTAACACGCCAAGCCTTGAGAAGCGTGATTATTTATTTTTATTATTTTTATAAATTCAAGTGCAAAAATGGCTCCCGACAGTCTTGGATTGAAACTAAGAAAGAAAATTATTGGCGATTGCGTAAGTGGAATGTCACAAAAAATATTTGTGATAAATATCAAGTGAAAAAATGGACCGTATCAAGACTATGTTCCAAATATCCTATTACGGGGATTTTATTTTAATCCGAGTGAGCACAAAAAAAAAAGTGGTAAAAGATGGTCTAGTAAATCGATAGTCACTTCTTTAAACATCTCAGTC